AGAGTGTTTCTTTTACTTTGGTTTCATTCTTGACAAGTGGTTATTCAATCTAGGAAAGCTATATGTCTTGGAAATAAATACTAACAATCTACCCAATCATGGTAGGTATAGAGGACAGTATGTTAAATTAATTTATTTTTTTATGGTTGATCAAAGTTTAGTTTTTATAATTGATAGTTTGGAAAAGTTAATTTCAGCTTTGCAGCTTTTTATTGGTAATACATTATACATTTTTAGGATTGCTGTCAAATTTTGGAAAGCTGCTATCAAGTTTCTTTCATATATAATCTTTAAGATTTCAGGGCATTATACTATCAAATTTCTTTCACTTATGATCTCTAAGATTTCAGGACATAATTTTTCTTATAATGATGAAAGAAACAGCAGTGAATTAACAACATTCTAATTAGTTTGTTCTATATAGCTCCTTTTCAGTTGCATATTATGACTTTCTGTTACCTTTGTTAGTATTTTGTATCAAATCAACAAACAATTTCAATTTTTTCCAAGGTGATTTACTTTTTATTGTTTGGATTATTAAATAACCTAAAAGACTACTTGTCATGAATACTCAGAGTTCATTTTGTTCTCTCAGTAAATTGTAGGTTTTGTATAGCTTTTGCCTTGTGCTCCCAGATCCTATCAGAATAAGATGTGTTATATATGCTAACATGTGAGCCAATGTGTTGAGACAAATAAAACATGTGACTTTTTAAACATAGGTGAACCCACTGCTGGTAGCACATCTACAGGTCTGCTCCCACAAACAGGAATTTTGATAAATTCCATTTTGCATGACTTCCTCAAAAGAGAAAGATAAAAATTAGAGGATGTGTTCATATTAGTATACTCTGAATTATTGAGTCTGTTCTTGAAAGAACTTTCATTTTAAGTAGGCATTGGTGAGAACTGTATCCTTTGACTGCCTTTCTACATGTCTGATAACTGGCAGAATTTTCCAGTAACTAGGGACTAAATCTGCACCACTGTCTCCATACTTTCACTGGCAGGAGTTGCAGAATGTATTCTTATCATAATATGATCTCTAACCCTGCCTCTTTGTATTATGACATGACGCCAGTAGTCTTGGGAGCCATTCCTGTACCAGAATGGAAACAACTGTGAACCACATAAGTACATCCCCATAAACCCAAACTAATATAGCCCTGAATCAACCTCCTCTTAGCTGGATCCTCAGTACCTGTAGCCACT